TATATATATATATATATATATATATATATATATATGAACGGCAGAAAAATGTGTTCCATCAAAAAAAATAAATATATATCCAATCAATATTGCACGGAAGTTAGTCTTCTTTTCTAAGCTTTAACCGAAAAAAAAGAAGGTATTGAATGAATATGTTAATATTTTTTCATTTAATTTAATGAATAAAACAGCTAATGAAGAAAACCTCATAGTATACATTATATATAACGTGTGTAATAAAAGGAGAAGCATTTGTAGAGATTATTAGTGGTAAAATAGATAGAAGTGGAAGATTCGAAGTAAAGTTTTTAAGAATTACGAGAAGAAAAGAAACGGAGACAGAAAATAACAGTGCTGAGAGTTTTCGCAGGGGAACTGGTTCGGGGTCTCGGTGTGGATACCTCGCAAATGCAACCAGAAATTATTTAAAAACATTATATAACTTCTATATCTCGTCTGACGCATTATATTAGTTATTTTTTAGCACAGAAATCTTTTTTTATTACTTTAAAAAATTGATTATTTTTAGCTGTTCGGAAAGGGAAAAAAAATGAATTATAGAGGTGGATTGGAATTCAAGAAGTTTGCTAAAAATAATCAAGTATATAAGTAATAAAATTCCGTTCTAAATAAGATTACTGTAGTATGAAACTCAAATGAATAAATGACTAATGAGCTTGTAAAGTACCATATACGAACTAGAGGTGATTGAAATCGGTTATTTGATTACTAATTAGTGATAATGAATTCCGATACTTAATTGATAAAAGAAAGACTTTAGAAAGACTCTGGGATTACTTTCTTAGAATTTAGCTATATGCGAAGTATTATTTTTGCATAATGCAAATGTAAACAATTGAAAATTGAATATTAGAAATAGAATAGTTTGGAGAATTTATTGTTTCTGACGTGCTAAATATCAAGAATACATCTTGCTTGCTATGGAACTTAATCTAAATGTCTGAATCTGCAGAATAACAGAAAATGATATCATTGATATGATAAAATAATTAACAAGATAGTACCGATCACGGAGATGAGCGCAATATTTCACTTAACCACCTTTTGTATGAAAGTGAAAAGGGAGAAGTAGCATTCATTTGTTTACTTGTTAATGACCTTGAATGGCCCTAGAATGAAAGTAGAAGTTGCTCGAGAAGTAAATTACTTTTACGTGGATGTAACGGAAATGCTATGTTCAGACATACACTTTCGTCTTATACTTACAGCTGTTCTGCCAATTGCAGCAAATGCTATCAATTTCCCCTCCTTATTTTTGTCTTTTTCACAGCACCAATTATTTTATTTCATTAATTAATTAATTAATTTATCCATTTATTTATTTTATTTATTCATAAAATTACTTTTCTCTTTTTTATAAAATAAAAACCATTGCAAAAGTTCTTCTATTTATGCATTTAATCACATCAAAAATCTGTTAACAAGCTAGTTTTGTTCGTCAAATTATGTCAATTATTCTGTGAGTTTTAATGAATGAATGAAAAGTAGTGATTCCAGTGAGAAAGTTTAGTGGCAGAATCACAAAAGAGATACATACCATGAAATTGTGATTTCGGTTCACGTAAACGCCGTGAACCTAAGTTACTTGATAATTATGTTCAGTCAATTTATCTCATTATTTATTTTACGTGTTGGACACGTCCAATCAGAATTGTGATACTATTAACCATGATGTAATTGTAATAACTGTAAATAGTAAGTGACCCTTGTTAAAAAGCTAGTAGACAACTTTGATTCTTCACATTATTCTAGCGCAAGATTATTACGTATTTCTTCTGTAATCAGTTTTAGTATCTCAATTTTTACGTAAATGAAAAACCTCTTCTGAATAGTATGTTTTGCAATACTAAAAGTATCGATTCTGTAAGTATTTCAAAATGACGTCATGGGAGACAATTTTTTTCATATCGCCATCGGTACTACATAACTACATCAGTATGATATTTCACTTGAAATTAGATATTTTATGACGTGAATATACCACGTTGTTTTTTACAAACAAAACTAGTATCTATGCATTTCCATACTTAAGTGAGTGAACAGTAAGTTGTTGAAATTTTAAAAAAATAAAACGGCTAAAATATAAGTAAAATTACTTAGTTTAAAAATTAAGTTATTCGTTGGTTTTATTGGTTTTATTAAGTATAAAATTGTTGAATCAATCTGGAAATTATGCAGAAGCAGGTGATTTTGCGATTATTTCAGCCCAGCTGACAAATTATTATAAATTTGCGATTGCTGCAAAAGTGCTGCATTTAATGGACAGTAAAGCAAATGAAGCAAATCTTCAGATTGGAGAAATAAGGAAGTTTTTTCGATATGTTCTTATTTATGAGTATGAAAGATTATACTTAACTCGAATTACATATGGTAGATTAGTAAAATATTTTAAGTTTCTTATTTTCAATTATTTCTAGTGTTTGTTTCAGATGTATCCAATGTCTTTTCTGTAAAGATTCTAAACCTCTGAATGGCTTTTTGTCGCACATCAGACAGGAACATCTCAATTATAAGCGTTACAAGTGTACAAAATGTACATATGAGTGTGACACTGAAGAAGAAAGCACACTGCACCTTCTTGAAACTAGTCATAATTTGAAAGTCCGTTTTTGTAAAGTTTGTTACTTGAAGATTTTTATCCAAATTTTGTCAAATCTATGAAACATAATTATTTTCAGTCTTCATATGGTTTGCATTTCGTCCCGAATTTTGTTTTTCGGATCGGGACATTATTTTAATCCGGTAGCATTTTTAGTGAAAAATTTTCAGTTTGATGATACAAGTTATCAAGAATATTTGGCGCGAAAGATTTTTCAAGATTGTTGCCGTGAAGGATGTTCTGATAGATCGAGTGCTGACAAACGAGAGGACAAAAATAGCGAAGAAGATTGTATATTTGAGGTACATATTCCGGAAAACAGAGATGTCAAGTTCAGAACTGAGAAAAATTACATGTGGGTTTCAAATTTAACGGAAAAAAATGCTCTGAAAAATCAAGCGGATTCAGCAACTAAATCAAAAAGCTGTAAGCAAAAACAATCACCTTCAATCTTAAAACCCACTTCCACTTTCACTCATGTCGACAAAAGCAGAGCAATCAAAAATGTGGAATCACGGAATATAAATGAGGCAAGAAAGAGCTTATTTATTTCTGTTAAATTTTTTTCTAAATTTATGTTTTGATTGATTACTTTCTTAATTACCCTCTGATAACAAAATTAGAAATTGAAAGAGAATGATGTCGATCACTCTGAAATCACTCCCGTCTAAAGAAATTAGGACATTCAATTTTAATAAGCCTTCCAACAAAGGTTGTGTTATTTTTGCTATAAACTGAAAAAAAAAACAGTTGTAAATAGTAGCGTGTTTTATTACTTATTATAGATTGTTTTTTTTTTCTAGTATCTTATTCTTCTACACTCAGAATTGAGTGTGGAAGAATGCCATGTTATCTTTTGTTAAACCAATATTATTATTATGAATGCGAAGTATCTTATAATACAGTTATACTTTGCTGGTATTATTGTTTGAATATAAAAGCCGTAATTTGACGCTTGCAGTTTTTATAATGGGATTAACTTATAATTATTTTTAATCGCAATATATTTAGCATGGTGAAGCAATGCAACCAACAACTGTTTGTCGAAAATGTGGCAAGGTTTATACCTTCACTTTTTTAATATTACATTATTGCAATTAATGGTAAAAATTTGCTGTATATAAATGAGAGTCATAGAAAAATATGGAATCTGGTACAACTATATTAGATTGATGTTGTTGTAAGCAAGTTGAATGGGAATACTTCTTTAAAATTGTAGTTGACATATAGTAACAGGTTGAATGAACAAAATGAATGGTTTAGAAATTTTCAGAAAGTTGTTATCCATTATGTTGCTCGGAAAAAGCATGCATTGCAGTTTCATTTTACCCAGAATGATGATCCGGAACTTTTCAAATTGCTTCCAGCCACTGTGAAAGCTTGTTTTCCAGAGTTTTCTCCTTCTAGTGATTATGAGGTAAAACATTATTTACATTGAAATTGTGACTTCAGCAACCATGAATAATTTATAATCATGTTAACACTCATTGAACAAATATTAGATTCAGTAAGTGTAAATGTTAATGTACGGAATTGAAAATAAGATTTTGAAAGCTTACAAGCTGTAATTATAGATTGTTTCTTATTTGCTTTGAATTGCAATTCCTATATAAAGTTGGAATGATCATGATTATCGTTCTTGATCATAATATATGAAAGAGGAACCTGCTTGGTTTTGTTTCAGTGCAGTGCATGTGGAAAAATTTTTGAAACAGACCGTGGTCGAAGAAATCATGTTCTAAAAGAACACTTTTATTGGTCTGCGGCTTGTCCGCTCTTAGGTTGTACGACTATAATTAATGCAAACAATGTTTTGCTTGAACATTTCAAGGTTTTTTATTTTATAACATATACGACTAAATATTGACGAATTGAAAAGGTCGGCGATGAAAATTCATATAACAAAAAAATGATTGAAAGATTTGCCTAAAGAATAAATTAAGCAAATCTTTTTTTTATACTTCTAGATTAATTGAATATTCTCCTTTTGATTAAATTATAAAAATTGCGTTTCCTTCAGTAATTTTCATATTACTTAGTTTCCTACTGACAAGATTTTTATTTTAGTTGGATCATCGTCTTGACAAACCGGCACTCTCGAAAAATTTAAAGTTAATGCTTCGCAATATGAAAAAAGAACGAGGCGATGAATTTTTTAGACAAGTATTTTAATGCAAGATATTTTTTAGTTCTTTCTGTTTTAAATGAATAATCGAATTTATAAATTGAAAAAGAATTAATTCTATTTTCGAGCGCTCAGTTAGTATTTTAAAGGTAGTGTTTTCAAATTGTTATAGAAATAGTTCTTATAATATGCGCAGTATTAAATTATGAATAAGAATGGTTTATTTAACCTTTTTGTCTGTTTCAGCTAAATGAGTGCTTTCCTTGCCCATTGCCAGGAAAAAAACCAAATAGCACGCAGCACTCAGAACAGTATAAGAGTCAGTTTCTAAAGCCGAGCCTAAGTGACGTTCTGTCTTCCCTTATATCTTCTCATTCTAATAAACAAATAACGAGGAAAAATCCCCAATATTCGTCATCGGACTCGGAATCAAGTTGTGCAGAAATTGAAGACATCGACAAGACAGTTATAAAAACCATTCATGGTGATTTTGAAGTAACTCAACGAAAGGAATTGGATAGTGAGCTTTGAGTTGCGTTATATTTGTTTTTAGATTGCCGATTTTGTCTGTCCTTAAAGGATTCACAATGTGTTTTTAGTGAGCGGGGTACTGTGACACTGATCGTGGGTTCATTTGTAGATGTAACAGAGCTTACAAACCATCCGAAAGATATGGAAAATTTCGATATTTCATTTCAAACCTCTCATATCTATGATGGCAGTGATAGCTTCTCAGATGGTCAACAGCTTTCCTGCACTATCTGTCATCTGAAGGTATTACTAAAATAATGGATAATGGGGCTATTATGTTACTTGAGAAAGAAGGAGCTTATTAAAATTCTTCAATGTACTTTGTTATGAATAGGTTTTTATATCTGGATAGGTTTTTATATCTGGATTTTTTTCATGGTCTAAAGATGAAGAAAATAGGTTCGTAATTTTCGTGATCTTTCATAATCGTGTTGAATTGGTAGCATCGTTTTTAAATAAAAAAGAACATGAATAGCTTGATTTACAAAGTCAACATTCCGATCTTGATTTATTGTCAAGTAGTGCATTATTTTTATTTCTTCAGGTAGCAAAAAATGTAATGGAATCTCATGCTTGGACACACCTTTCGATCGACACTCAAGCAAACAATAGACTGCCATTTCAGTGCACTGGTTGTGACTTTACAGCATATCGCATATTTGATATCATATATCATGCAAAAATAAAACACATGTGGATAAATGAAAATCTCTTCGTTCCAGGTGTGCCATGGGAAGTACTGAAAGCGTTTTTGAGAAAAGTAGTTGAATGTTTTCCACCAGTAAAACATTATATGTAGTCACGCATATTTCTTATCATTCATTTCAGATGCGAAATATTGAAATTATTAGCTTACTAGGCTGTAGATGTTCTTGTTTTTTCATTTTATATTGTTAAGTTGATTGGCTCTTGTGTTTTCGAGGGAAATGATACGCAATTAAAATCTCTATTCCCTTCTAAATTGTCATGAGTAAATTTCGCGGTTCTCTCTTATTCATAATTTTTGTCGGATGAGCTTGTGCATGTAAAACAATTTTTTTGAAACTCGTGCAGTTACTATTACTAGTATGTGAGTACTGCACTGTTATTAACTGTTTTTTAGTATGCCGGAACGTCCACCGTTCGTTGGCTTGCTGTCTTTGTGTTTTGAAAGATTCATCTTGTCACCACAATAAATTCAGTTTGATTTTTTTTCTCAACAAGAAAATAGGGACCCTTGATGATAGCGAAAAAATTTAAGGTAGAAAAGTCATCTTCAAAAGTAGTCCTTCTGATTTATGGTCGTAATTTGCTTATGACTAGTTACTCCCAGCGAAATTTAGTTACTTGCCGACTGCTTCATTTTCCGCAATTCATTCTTCACTAGAGCTTAACAGCGTGTAGGTTGAGAACTTTTATCCTTTTCTCATGTTGATTCCTTATTGACATGTTTGTGAGATATGTTCACTTGTTCATGACAGAAGTGGTAAATCTAGTGATTCTGAGTGAGTTTTTTCGCCATCTGGTTAAAGCTAGAACATTCTACTAACTTTCCGAGCACTATGATCTTTATCTGATAAGTTGGAGTAATCGACGGCTTTGTGTAAATGAAGGTACGAGACAAAGTATTTCATTATGATCCATAATAATCTATCTCTTTGCTACTCGACTGAAAAATCCATGATATCTTTCGCCAGTTCGTTTGTTTCGCGATAAGTTTTACGTATCGTAAAAGGGATATACGTGGTTACTGGTTTTTTGTCTCTTTCACTAACTTTCAATTATTAAGAGATCAACTTTTGTGAACTCATAGTCACAAATTTCAGCTGTCAAAAGCGTAACTCTAAAAATTTGACGACAGTAGGTTTATAGTTGCAAAGTGTTTACTTTATTTAGTTGAGTTTTTTGGCAAATGCTTTGTTATTGCATACAATTAAGCATGCTACCAATAGAAATGAGCATAAACCGTAAGATCGGACTTTGAACTCATTTAAAGCATTGTTGTCTATGGAAAGTAGCACATCTTGTGCTTTCTTTGCTGTCCCTTTTTATTAATTCGGTTAAACAATAAAAATATACTTATTTGAAGTTTGTGAAAGTCATCGGTCTTTGTTCTGGTACAAAAACAGACAATGCGGTGAATGAAGACAGTTACTTTTTTAAAATGTTTTTTGTCAAATTTTTGCAGATTATTGTAGTTTGTATGTTGGCATCCTGGTTACTGTTTTTAATACAATTTATTCTGTCAAAGTATCGTGACATCACGTATTTCTTGATTTCTGTGAAAGAAAGTAATAGTCAAGCCTGTAAGGAGTAGTGTTCAACTTTTTTAGGTCTCCTATTTACACATATCAAGTGGTGAGTGGAGTTGCAATGATTATAGAAGCCCCGGAAGCATTACGAACTTGGCTGACTAGAGAAATGGCTCCGATGTAAGTACTCTTTTACTTTGTGCAATTTCTGCTATTCTGGAGGTGTGCGTTTAAAAAATATATAGTAGTGTGGAAACTAACCTAATGTTGCTTGATATGTGTATTACAGTTGTGATGCTGAACCAGCTGCTCTTGCAAAATATGTATTGGCTCTTTTGCGCAAGGATAAGCCTGAATCAGAACTTATGGAGTTTTGTATAGAACAGCTCGATGTATTCTTACAAACCAGTAAAAACTTATTTTTTGCGTTGTAGATATGTAGATATGAATGTGATTGTTCAATACAAATTTTTAACTTCATGTTGCATAGTATGTATTTAAACGCAATTGATTTTGTTATTGATATTTATTTCTGGCCGCAATTTAAATTATGCTGATATTGCTGGATGTGTAGTTGATTGTTCAATGTTACGTCATTTTACTTGGCGACTAGTGTTTTCTCTCATTATTGAACAACATACAAGGAATATGGATTTACTGGTCATGTTTTTCATAATGCTGTTTTTAGAAGCGAAAACGTTTGTAGAAAAACTTTTTCGTGTTATCAAGGAGCGCAGTTACATCACACCAGCGGCAGCATTAGCATCTGCGACACACAGTATTCAGCCAACTCAAAAAGACTCCTTGACAGTGATGCATGAAAAAAAGAAAGACATTGATGAGCGAAGAGAATTGAAAGAACGCAGAGATGATGTTAAGAAAAAAAGTGCAAGTCAAATGGATAAGGTAAGGAAGCAAAATGTATCATTATACTGTTTTCTTATTTATCCGAATTTTGTTCAAATTTTAAGGTTCATGATGATAAAATGATCGAAAAAATTGGCTCAGCTGAGGCAGGTGTAGGAAGCCCTCAAAAACCGGTTCGGAAACGCATTTCACCTCCAATTGATATTTTTTTACGTGACGATCCTCGTCGTGAGTATACTACAAATCGGTAAAATTGCTTGAAAAAACAGTGTGCTGTCTTGTGAAAATATGATATTTTCGTAACAAACTTTATTTTCATAGTTGTATCGATGAGTTAGAGACATTTGGTGCTAAAAACTCATCATTTTCCAGAACTATATGAGCATAAGCTTATGTTGCGTTAAGGGAGTCCTGTGTTATGGATAGGAGTCTGAATATATACTTATTTCCTTTCATTTTCTATTTAAAAGGTTTGAAAGAAGACGCAGTCGATCCCCTCGTGAAAGGCGGTTGGAACGCAGTGATCGAAATCTGGATCGCCGAGTGATACCACCTCTTGTAAGACTACAGCATCGAGCACCAGATAGATATAAGGTTGATCGTCTAGAACGTTTGGAACGTAAACGTTCACCACGTTCTCCTTATGAAAGACAGAGGTGTTCCTTTTTCATTCAGTTCAGCGCATTTTTCAAAAACAGGGCACATGTTTGTTGTGCTTTTTTGAAAATTTATTTCTGTCATTTGTTTTTCTTAGTTTTTTTAAGTAAGCATAGTGTTTTTATTCATATTTCATAACTTTTATCATTCTTGTCATCAAAACTTGTACATTATTAGACGAGAAAAAAGTCCTGAACTTGATTTGCGGAAGAAAAAAAGATGCCGAGATTACGATGAAAAAGGGTACTGTATGAAAGGTGACCAGTGCATCTATGATCATGGACCAGATCCAGTTGTTGTTGATGATATTGCACTTGAGAAAATGGTTACCAATGGCGCAAAGCCTCCAGTAACTCAAATTGCAACAAATTTTTCCGTACCACCGCCTGGTTATACACCTCTAAATCCTCCACCTCCTGGTGTAGACAGCGTATATGCCACTAATTCAGGTGGTATTGGATCGTCTACTATTTCTGAAGGTTTATTATTTTATTTTGTTTTTGTGAAGCAGATGTTATATGGGGAAAGTCATCTATAAGTTTGTGTTTTTAGGATATAACCCTGAAGCTCCTGCGCTGAGTGCATCTTCAATACCTGTCGTAGCAGCTGCACCATCAATTGATTTTTCTGTCCCACCACCACCAATTCCTCCTGTAGTAGTAAACCAACCTTGGAGACCGACAACCTACACTGTACCTTCCATCTCTTCATCAGTTCTAATACACCCTTCAGCTAATGTCTATGATCCAGCCCATTCCTCAGTCACAATTCCTCCACATAATATCACACAGGTTCTTTTTTGTGTAGAAACAGCTTATATGTAATTAGAAATTAATCTTAAAAGAAGGAATTTTTATTTTTATCCTAAAATTAAAGTACCAGGATTAGCAGTTTTTGCTCTTGAATTTACTGACATAATTTTATTGTATATTGTAGGGAAAAGAAATAACATGTAAATACAATGCTCTTAAAGCTTGGTTTTTTTCCCAATTTATTTAAACGGTGTTTTAAGCTTCCAATCAGCCAAAATCGAGGAGGAAAAGCAAATGTCATTGGTAAAGCAGCACGTTACGGGCAGACTATGGGCGCAGCGAATAGAACGCTTGAAGTACGTAAGATACCTATGGAGCTGAATAATATTGCGAAATTGAACGAGCACTTTGCACAATTTGGACAAATTGTGAATATACAGGTGGTCTTTGAGATCTATTTAGATTTATATTTCTCACTCGTAAGCATTTCTTCAAAAATCACTTTTCGTCGAAAAAGTGTTTACACGTAAAAATATGAATAATAGTTCACATCCATAATAATTACATTTCTTAGGTATTTGGGCACAAATGGCGTCGTATAAGAATCTTTTCTTTGATAAATTTAGCTCTTATGTTTTGTCGATTTGATCTCCACTTTTTATGTCTTATTTTTCCATTAAGTACAAAAATTTTGAATACAGGTTTGCTTCAATGGCGATTCAGAAGCGGCTCTCATTACATATGCAAATCGGTATGAAGCAGTTGCAGCTTACAAAAGTACAATTCCTATACTTAATAATCGTTTCGTGAAGGTTTTCTGGCACAATGTAGATGTTCAAGCGAATAATCCTGTAAAAATTTGATTATTTTTTGCCAAAAAGATGAGTCGTAGCAAATTTTCTTGTAATTGTCACGTCATAGAATGTCGTAGTAATTTGAACACAAATTTTTGTAGAAATCAAAGGATAATTTGATTTTTGGTATAAATATGCTTGAATTTTTTTATTGAGCAATTTTTAGACATCACCAACAAAATCTTCTGTTACTTTTAATGCGCGGGGATCATTGACGAAAACAGTTCACATTGGTTCAAGATCCGGTGGGTCCATTGCCAGAAATTCGCATACGATTCAAAAAGGAATCAAACAAAATAATGATGCTCGGGCTCTACGTCCTGCAGTCAATCAGTCATCATTAGACAGAGAAAAGTATATTGAGGTACTGAAATAAAATTTCTAGGAAAGCTTTTGATTTAATAGGATTCTGTAAGCAGAAGTAGTTTTCACTTATAAAACCTGATTATTAGCATATATAAGATATATAGTGTTCCACGCGTATTAGCTAAGTCATAATAACATCGTAGTTTGCTTTTGTAAAAATTTGCTTTTTACCAGTTAATTAAACAAAATTTCCTATGCAAAAGCTAAATGAAGAAAGTGTTGCCCTCTGTACCGGTTCCAAATCGCAGTTTTGAATTCTTGTTTGTAGGTAAGACGTCGACGAAAGCAGGAGAAAGAAAACAAAATGAAATTGATAGATCTGCAGCGAAGGAAGTCCGATCTTATGTCTAAAGAAATAGAGCATCAGAAAATTGTACTTAAGAAAATGAAGGAAGGAAATGTAACACCTGAGAAGAAGAAGATGCTATATAAGGTTTGCAATATTAAATTTTTTTAATAAAATTTGGAAACTGGTGCAAAGAATTCAAAATAAACTCAATTGAGGAATTACTCAGATGTTGGGGAAAATTTGACCACTACATGCTGATTGAATCTCAGGGGTTTATTATTATTTAAATTCATGTCTTAATTTACTTTCGGACACAAGCATCAAATGGTTGAGAATGATGATAGAATGTGCATGTAATTTCACATTTTTACTTTTGCTAATTTTTTCACTCTATTTTCCACATGTGTTGTTATTCTTAAAATGAAACTATGTTTCCATTTACTGTGAAGAAATAGAGGTCTCAAGTAATGTCGATACATTTTAAACTTCCTTTTCAGATCTTCAAAAAATTAGAAGCTTCTGTTGCTAAGACTAAACACGAAATTAATGAGCTTAATTTGAAGCTCATGAAAATGAATGTTGCCTTCGAAAGCCCTAAGAAATTGGATAATGCAAATGGTTCTAGTACTGTTGCAGAGTCTTCTATTGTGGCAGATGGTGTCATTTCCGATAGTTTGTACTTCATATCATTTAATTAATCAGTAATTTTTTTTGTTCTTGAACTTTGATCTATTTCTGTATCATAAATGATATTTTATTCAGTAAGTGAGTTATCAGTCAAAGATGTTGGTCTTGTTTCAAAGAAAATTCGTGTCCTGGATTCTTCACAGGTTTATATTTTTCTTTATGGTACACGAATGATTACGATTACTTTTTTGAAGAGATGACTTGTTTTGTTTTGAATGTCAAGCTGCATATTCGAAAGCCCATTTTTCCACTTGTTCCTTTCCCGAAAAACCTGGTTAAGTGGGTAATATGGTAAGAATTAATTATGAATCATGAGTTGCGTTGTGACACATGTAGCGAAATTATTTTGCTATTTAATAACAGATTTCTATCTGTAAGCATTTTGTAGATTCTTGATAATCGTTCAAAAATGGTTGTTGTTCGTGGGTTTGAAGCAGGAACGGAAAGTGAAGTGATAGTCCATATGGAACATTTTGGAGAATTAACAGATATGGATTTTGGAGTTCCTGCTCAGGATAAATTGCTTACTGCCTATTTCACATATAAAAAAAGGCGTGATGCTGAACAAGTAACAACATTCACTGTATAGTCTTCAAATCATGTCATATGCTCGTTTATTTACTGCTCTGAAATACTGGTTTACTTTTAAGGCTGTATCGCTTGGATCAGATTATCCCAATGGACATTTGATTGTTGAATGGGCTCCGAAACGTGGGGCTGAAGCGACTGGTGTTGTACCTGATGAGAAACGGAAGCCATCTGAGCGAGTTACTCCTGCTGCTTTGTTAGCAAGTTGTCCCCTTGAAGAGGTCTTGTCATAAAATTAGCAGTATAAAATTGTGCGTACCATATGGCTGTTTATAACAATTTATTGATTTCTAGTTAAGTTACTCAGTTGCAAACAGAATTATATCCTCACATCTCGAAAACTAAATTATACTCCTAATGTTCATAAATTTCAACTAATTTATTTTGAGTCAACATCTTATGGATCCATGAAACATTATGATCTTGAATAACAATTTTTCAGTCAGATGACGATGGAAATGAAGAATAATGGAAAAAAATTTTGAATACGACCACATTTGTATTTTTAAGTGGATTTTGTACTGAGAACAAAGTCCTTGTGACAGTCTTCTGAAGCAAGTATCATCATGTTACGTAATGTCTAACTTTCCAGTACCTTTGTATATTTTGGCGAAATGTCACAGGACTCACCGTTTTTGATATAAAAGGGTTCTCAGATTTTTTCTTCATATTGTATTTTTTGGTTATTAACTAGAATCTGTTGTTTGTATTATCTTGAATTAAATATCGTTGCGCGAAACTTTTTATCAGCTAACACTGACATGAAAGTTTGTTGTGAAGAGAAAAGATTTTTTTTTAAATCGGCTCAAAAAAAGTGAAAATAAATAGTCAAAAAATTGAAACAGATAAAAAACAAGATATAAAAATTATACCGGGCTTGAAAAAAATGAGAAAAAGTAGTTGTATGTACAACGAGCCGAATAAATGTAAAGCCCGTGTATTTTTGATGTAATGACGGTTGTATTCTAAGTAATTGTTGTTGTGTCTGAGGCGGATACATTGTGGTCATCAGAGCATTGTTTGGCACTATTGATTGTTTCTCGCCTGGAGTAGTCACTTGCAGACGGGTAAGTCAATGTTAATATCACTACTCAGTCTTCTCTTCCGGTTCTATTGGCATCCTATAAATTTTTTTCTCGTTCTTTGAAATGAACACTGATCTAGCTTGTTTCTATTTGTGTTAGTGTTAGTGCTAGTGATATTTTATTTGATTCGCGGGGATTTATTCTTACTACTACTAGTTTTATAATTTTCTCTTTTTCGCTAATAGGTGCTCACGAATTGTCGGGAATTGCATTTGCTTCTTTGATGAAACAGATTTTCTCACAGTTTGGTTCTTAATCATTTTATAAAGCTCTTCCAATATCCGTCATATTGAAATGTTTTTTATTATATTTTAGAACAGTTTTGGATCAAAGTTTTTGGATTTTATTATTTATATATGCAAATTGCTTTATTAAAAATATTTTGATTTAAAAAAAGATACATTTGTGATGGAAAATAATACATCTTTCTAATGCAGGAATCTTTAAACTGGTTGTGTTGTTATTGTATATTTGATTGAAATTTTAAACATTTGTTTATTTTAGGTGCTTTTTGTTCGTAATTTAAAATATCGAAGCCAGTGAAAAATTTAGAAACCAATGAATTTCTTTTAAACAATGGTCACCTTTATTTAGCGCAAAATGATGCAAGGAAACGTTGTTGTTGTTAATACTACGTTTTATTGTGTTTTGTGATTTAAACATGTCATTTATTTAGTTTTCATGGTTCCGGTGGAAAAACATTAAATTAAACAATTTGATCAAAATAAGCAATGATAAAATATTCTCTACCCGTACAAGATTGTTTTAAACAGTGGACACGTGAGGAATGGTTACGGATTATAAGACTGCCTTTAGTCTGCATTTATGTTATTTTGATTTGCTCACATTAAATCTTCCCGAATATGAAGTTTTCATATTCAAGGAAACAAACGAGTGAATCAGTCATAGGAATATGATTGTTGAAGCGGTGAACGGGTTTGGAAGTTTAGGAATCAGGAAACCGTTAGGAGCATATTTTCAGGAAAAATGAAGAGGATGGGGATAGAAATGGTATGGGTGTATTTGCAAACTATTGCTAATCTAGTGAGTCTAAAATCATTTTAGCTCAGATTCTTGATTATTGCGATCTTATCGCGAGTTGAATCATAGAATTAATGAGTCTATCATGATTGGTTGCCAAATGTTTGAGTTAAATGATTGAACTGGAGAAGCAGATTGATTTGTGGAGTAGATCTTTGAAATAAATTGCAGTAGCTACTTAAGCAAACACTAACAACTATGGTAGTTAAAAATAAAAATGAGCGACATTATGCGAGTGTTTCTCGAATTTCATCTGTTTCAGATATAGAATCATGGCTGAAATTTCTATTCATTTGTCGCCAACATATTTGCTGTGGTACTGACGCTTCAAGTACACCTTTCTTACACCTTGGGCTCTTTTCGTAGGCAGCACAATTAACGGGAACAAAACCATAACCTAAATAATTAATGTGAGTAATTTTTGACGTCGATGCTGGAAAGAATTAGAAATTATAACTTTCTCTTCTAGTCATTTTTATTGTAATTAATAATTATTGTTAAAGATTTTATATCCTTTATTAACAGAAGTCTAAGCAGGTAAGGTGTAAACCAGTTAGATAAGCAGACTACCGCTTGAATTTGCATTTGAATATTTTGAAAGATTGTGTTCAGATGAGCTGTTATCAATCATAGCATTTCGAGTTAATTTAGTTTTTGGTCTCCCTCGCCAACTTGTTGTATGTCGTCCTAATGAATCAAGATTGATCTGAAGTATTTAAATTAGTGCAAAAATAGTTTTAAATTTGATATCAAAACTTTTTATCATAGGTACAAGAATCATTTATGATCGAAGCTTAAATGCCTGAATAGCATGAACCCGTAAGTAATGATTAATAGTTTTGTCATTTCTAATTAAGTATTTTTATAGAAATATTTCATTTATTGCTAAAAGTATAATTCGATTTACGGCAACGGCAGGTTGAGGAGATATAAATACACTGATTTCTGATCCACGATATGATATACTGCGTTGTGTACTACCATTGCTCGCATGTGACGAATTTTCAGCAGCATCTATCGTTGATTTTTGCGAATATCTGAAAATCTTCATAACGAATACTTTGATTTTATTGATATACTTGTGCAAGTAAATTTTGGTGTACTGAAATAATATGAATTTTTGACGTGTAAAATTCATTTTAATTAAAAATAAAATAAATGACATTAGTTACACATTTCTATTATTTATGTTTGATATTTGTATCTCAAGCAGTTTACCACTGAGGAATTTTTGTATCTTAATGCATCTTAACGTACTGCTTATGTTAACGGAAATCATGTGAAGTTACTTACATATTTTGTTTATTACAAAGTATGTATTGTCCTAACTCAAATTTTGAATATTATTTGAACTTATGGTCAGTAATTGGCAAAGATCAATGGACTGGATAATCTTTCTTTTGTACTGCATACTTGTAAATATAAAAGTTTAAAACACTGGCGATTAAGAGAAGCAAACCTGCTATTTATACTACAGCTATCAATTTCAGCTTTTGAGAGCCAGACCCATTCTTGTGAGTTTTCATCTTTTCCACATGAACTGGATGAACTTAATCGTGTGAGAATTGGTAACACCAATTTCTCATAACCTTTATTAAGTGGTCGTCGAGCTCTCGAACCAATTGCATGTACAATACCTATTAACGCTGCTAACAGAATGATCAAGCCGAGCAGTACTTGTGAGTTCCAATTTCCAGAATCATCTTCTGATTCTAATTTTGTACTACTATTGTCTGAAAAATGTCGCTGATTCTTTTTTCTACTTATTGCTTTACCAACACATTAATTATGCCTGGATTTGTTTTTTTAGTATTTACTTGAACAACTTATTAAATATAACTTACAGAAGAAAGCGGTTGGTGTAGTCGCTAGTTTTTTTCGTTCATTAAATTCTATTTGAACAGGGTAATCAATTTGTATGAGTGCTCGTGAATCTAGTTCACGACATTGAGTTGGACTGTGTAAGCTGACTGAAAGTAGCACATTTTTAGCATTCTGAAGAACGATTAATTCAGTATTTTGACCATTTGGTCCATGATTTAATGCTACTGCTTGGTCATCAGAAGTCCACGTTTGTAATACATATTGATCTGATGGTATGTCATTTAGTTCAAGTGCTTGCTCATCCGAGAAGTACAACCGACAAACGATGGTTGCATGCTAAAAAGGTAAATAATTGTCATCATTTGTAAAAAAGTTCTGTAAATTTTATCTTCTTGTCTGATTATTTTTTAGCGTACAATATTCGTTTTCTTCAATTTTTTAATTCATAATTTTTGCATAAAGTTACATTTTAATTATATAATTTTAGGTACCTGATATTTACGAGTTAAAGTATTTTGAATGAACGTTGAAACGACATATTTATCTAATCTTTTGGGAATACGTTCGATATCTAATGCTATGTCAACCACTCCTTCAACCACTAATCGTCTTACAGTGACTACATCTTCTGTAACCTGAAATATTCCTTTATATTTTTTTCTTCTCATTTTTAAAATTAAAGATCATTCACAGGAATTATTATGCAAAAATTACCACAATTGGTGCACTGCCATAATCAATGCTTGGTATGTTTGAACGAACTGTTATTCTGTAAAGAGCAAAAAAAATCAAAATAATTATAATTATTATTACTACTACTATATTATGTTATTATCAAGCATCGATAGAAATTTAATTTGCATAATATTTCAGTGAACGATTGGGCATTGTTTTTTCTTGTGGGCATGAATGCTAGAAACCTTGCTGAACCAGGATGGTTAGCAATAACGAAAATGCGATCTTGACGAGGTAGTACAACGGCTACGCCAAGATTGGTGCTATGTACATGATTAACAGTAAGTGAGGTTACGTCAAAAAGTATATCTCGGTCGCCAGATAAGTAAATTCGTTCTCCTGTGTCTTTATCACCAATATAATAGCTTGCAAGAATACGAACCTAAAAGACAGCAAACTGTGCCATATCTAGCGAGATGTTGAATTTTAAATTTAAATTTGGAAAGCATTACCTTTTTCATTCTTTGATACTTAATCATACTTTTAATGACTAGTTGCATACTTCTTTTATCACGCTCTTCAGCTGTGCTATCTCATTTATATATTTAGGTATTATTTTATTAATTTCAAAGTACCTTAAGAAGTACAAGTTTCTGGACGATTCAGATTTAGACATTTTTTAATCAGTTCTAGGAAATCAGGCGTCTTTACCGTATTTAGAGATATGAAATGATGTGTGGTTAGGTCAGTAACCATTACAAGTAAGAAATTGAGTAATATGATAAAAATGCCAAAAGTCTACTTCAGCTTGTTGGTACTTATTGGTGCAACCAAATTGACGAGCTTCTCTTCGACGTCTGCTTGGAAGCCATTTCCATACCGCTATTTGCCAATCTGAAGTTAAGTTGTTTGGTGATTAATAATAGCTACTAAAGTGGTAATTATAATGATTTAATATAGTTATAAATTTTTTAAGTTACTGGGATTACTTTTTTATTAGTTCCCGAAAATATTATAGTAGGTCTTATAAATTTCCATTACTTTGATTTATGATAATTCTAATTTTAGGGATTTATGTGATCTATGAACTAAAGACTGTGTACGAAATTTGGCATTATAAGTACTGGTAAAAGGATATTACAAACTTCCGCATATTTTGAGTTCGTTCTACTATTAATTTTTGAATAGCATTTTTAAGAATAAATTCAATCCATCTCAAACATCACCTTCATATGTTTTATTAAATGCTATAGAATAAATAATTAATTCAATTTATTTTTGAGAGGAATTTTGCAAGAATAAACATCATCTTAACTAATACTAGTACCTTTGACGGCATTCAGCACTGGATCTGATATCCAGACCGTAATTGGAAATCGTGGATACCAAACAGTGATTTCGATGGAAGTGGTTAATGTCTCAAAGTGTACGTGTATTTTGACCTTGCCCATCCCTCGTAATTCCGATCTATAATTAGTGCTTTGTAATAAAGTTCATTAGTTAGATTAAAAATTCATAACCATAGGAAAAGAATGCTAGATATTCAATGAAATTTTAATATTCCTGCATTTATAATCTTTTAATGCTTTAAATGATTATTTTCAGTACTTTAATCTTAATTTAATGCTATTCCATCAATGAAGATGATAGTTTGTAGTGTTGATGATTTTTAACCACAGTTTTATGCTGAATTTTCATCTTCTATCTTCATGTTTAGTAAAGGGCTTGCTGAAAATTGTTGAAATTCTTAATACTTATATTGTTCTTACAATTATTATCAGTTGTTTTTACTGTAGTTTTCATCAAAAATTTATTCAGTAATAATTTCAGAAAGTCATTTAATCATTTATAAATGAGATTCCACAATTTTACTTAACTTTTCTTCATCAAATATATTATACATTATTGATTTTACGCTTTATAGTTTTGGTGATTTGAAAAAATCAGATGGCTTTGAAGGGGACTCACCCATCTACATAAATTGAGCTGCAAGTTGGTGAAGCTTTTAAAACGCGAGATTCTGCGCTTAAACAATGCGAATTACTTGTAACATCTTCCAGATGACCGCCTTCCGTCACAGAAAAAATCCTCATAGGTACCGCGGTTTGCTTTCCCGATAGTACTGCTGTATTGATTACATTCTCACCCTAAATGGTAATTTAGTAATCCGCGGATTCTTTCAAATTCATATATGTCTATCTATCAGATATGAAGTTTGGCAATAAACTGACTGTGTGAAAATGTGTATGAAGTAAAAGAACATAATTGATTACGCATATTTGTGAACAAATACTTTTATCATGGGAACGATAGAATAAACGAAGTCAGAATATATTCGAAATTTCGTTGTTGTACGATGTGATCCCATTTTACTCTGTAAGTAATTATTTTATTTTTTACAGCAAAATTTTTTTGTATAAAAAATCATTTCAATGCACGTCATTAAACTGATAAATTATTTAAATTTTTCATTAAATCCATAAAGTAATTTTACGTAGTCACAAGTGATTTTTATGTTATGTTATCAACAAAGCTATGTGAGTAATTGTTCAATGTTATGCTTTTTTATCAAGTTTTTACAAATTTTTAGTTATCAATTATTTTTGTGATTATCAAATTTATTGATTGTTTATTAATTTTAACTTTGATATGATTACAGTATTTGAAGATTTTCCTTCGATATCATACTGTACTTCCCAGTGAACATTGATGAGGTCATCATCCATTTTATTAGGATGTGATTCTGATTCACTTTCTGCTACACTTTTCACCTTGACAAGCATCATCATCAAATATCCATCAAATCTGTTAAAAGTTATAAATAAATAAATATATGTATGTAATATTCACTTTTTTTAAATTGCTTTAACTTTTTATTTATTGTTATTATTTGAAAATTTTTACCATATTCTTTTGAAATTAAAGAATAATGCTTTCCGTTAAACACAAGTATTAACCAATAATTTGTTGAAAATAATTTTCTTTACATGCAAATACCAATAATTAGAAAAATAATAGATAAAAGTATTAAATTTTTGAATGTATGACATTAATTATTTTCCAATTTGTTGAATATACTGGATAAAAATATTAAATCCGAAATGAGTTCTAAAGTTTTTATTACATTTTTCGTAAATAATTTAATAACTTTGGAAAAGAATTAAAAATATTTGTTGTTATTTTTGAGTATTGAATACAAACTTTGTTTAATAAGTGCAAAATATTCAAATAAAGCAGATATGTTTTGAATTCAAAAAAATGTTTAAAAGCAAAAAGTTTGTCCACCTTTGTGAATAATCATTGGAAGAGATAATTGGCAATCGTTTACTTGTAATAATTATTAGAGAATCGGATGAGCTCACTGGTTTTTCCATTTCTACCTTCCATAATTTTATATTTGCAGAAGTAACATTAATAATTTTAAAACGATTATTTAGCCAAACTCTGCAATTTATAATTTTTGTTCAGAAGTGCTATTGAATATTCTAATCTTTCAAAATCAAAATCAATCTTTAAAAATATGTAATTACTTTTAAATTAACTTATTTCTGCTGAGTTTTGAAGAAGAGAAAAGTTGTTTAAAATTTATTAACAAAGTTTAGTAAATTTCAAATGACTGGTAATTATTTAAAAAATCTTATTTGATTTATTAGACTGAATTTTTAAAAATACTGGAATATTATTATTAATCACTGCTTATATCCATTGTATAGACTTAGAATTTATTAATAATTACCAACTTTTTTAATGTTATTTTCTATCTAATCTTTCAAAACTTTTCTTTTTCTTCTTAAACTTTAATAATCAAAATATTAATATGCGATCTTATTACAAGATATTCAGTCCTTGCAAAAGTGACTAATTAACAAACTTCCAACTTTTCTAAGTATTCCTCAGTACTTTTCGTTTTTAAAAATTTTTAACTGATTTACTTTATCTCAATAGCATTGAGAACCATTTCGTTTTCACCGCTGTAATTCAAATAAAGCAAAAGAGTGCTGAGAGAATCGCAGGCAAAAGTAAAGTTTGTTGGCGAAAGTAATCGCAAATGCCTTCAAAAATTCTTTACTCATTGCAATTATACTAATTTAATTACATATGCATCGATTTAATTACAAATTTTTAAGCATTTTTTAAAATACAAAAATGTTATTTGTTATTAGCAGTTGTTCCTTAACAGTTTTGTAATGGTCACATGTGAGAATTTTCATTTTCTTTCCCACATGTCAAGAATTTTGATTGTAAATGATTTTCGTATTAGTTTACGTAGTATTTTAATGATATTAAAGTTTTTTAAAGATTTCTATTTGTAATATGCAAATTTATATGAATAGAATTTTATTTGTGCAAAAAAAAATAATAAACTTTAATAATTTGTGAAAATAACGATACAGAAGATTGTAATAACTTAGACATACAGTACTGAGGACTGTTTATCGATATCATAAGATTTGTAATTTGCAAAAGGTGAAAGTAAAGTTAATTTGGTACGATGTGATTCTGCCTGTTGTTCGCCGCATTCTTTATCTACTTTGTGTACAAGTGTTATTACCTATAAATTAAATATTATACCAAAGTTTAATTTAAAGTTTTTGTATGTACTAATTTTCTTATAATTAAATATCTTGATTTCTAATTTAATTAGCTGTTAATATTCACTGCAAATTTATCATTCAGTGGATTATTATCTCTATATTACTGTAATTTTCAAAATCCAATCATTTGCAAATTATTACTACAGCTATATTACTGTTTTCTCACAAACATTGATTGCTTTTGATATATCAATTTTTTTTAAATAAAATAATAGCCTTTTATTAGCTTTTTTAAAACTATTTATATCAAAATTCTGCAAGTACGCAAATTTAAGTCTGATATTATTTGTATAAAGTTGGACTAAAGTAAAATAAACCTGATTTTGATCATTGTTAATGGGAAACCATGAGTAAGGGACAATAATTCGTAACAGGCAAGAATGATGAACAGAATCATACGGTGATATAATACAAGACATAGATGCGGTTGTTGACGTAGAAAATGCTAATTGCGTGGTAATACATAGTGATTGACGTAAGTGAGATAATATTGAAATATCCGAGACTGCCACGAAATCCACAAACGGTTTCTCCTTAATAGTTCTGTTAATTGCTTTAGATGACAAAAATTAAGCAAAAAAATTAATATTAAGATTGACTTCCTTACAAGAGAAATAATGTTAGAAGCAATTTTGATCATAACTGCACATTCAAGCCTTCTGATTCTATCTAAAGCAAGCACATGGCGTCGTCCAGATTGTGTTCCCACAATTGAACTCAAGCGAGATGGACAACCGTCCTGAATCCACTTAAATTACAATCAAAATACTTCGATAAGCGTACCATATATATTTGTATTTTTATAAGTTAAAGTGAAATTCACGCAAAGAAAGAAAAACTTATTATCATATTTATCATTAATTCACGTGAAAAAGTTAACTTTTGCTGCTATAAATTCACGCAAATCTTTTTTTTAAAAGTTATTCTTTTTTTTTCTTCATTTAAATTATCATATGGAATGTTTTCATTTAAAAATCATAAAACATTGACCTCCGACATTTCTCATATCATAGTATCCATTAATTAAAATTAAATTACTATTAGGTATTTGGGATATTGGCATGAAGTTAATATAAGCAAAACAGACTTGTAAAAATATTGACGTCCTATTGTGATCAGTTCCAAATTCTGGTGAAAAAAGCAGGAACGCGTTCACGTCAGAAACCACGGAGAGGTAGATTCCTGTAAGTTATATATTCAACAAATCATGCAAATAAACTTGCAGCTTTGTTGATTCTTCAAACATATTTCTGCGCATTTTGAATAACTTTTTACTACAGCTTTTTTTGTTATTACTGCAGACTGTGAATATTTTGTAAAGTAAGATTTGATAGTATTCGTAGTAAATATGCCATCAATACCTGCATTTAACAAAGAACTATTACCACAATTTAGTGATAAGCTAATATTTATTTTGATAACTTGAATAAAAAACTTTTACTGTTCCTTTTAGTTCTATCAGTTGCTGATTACTGTAACTGTCAAGTGTTACTGATATCTGAACTTATGAAAATCTTTTAGTGCTTGATTCTGATTTGCTTATAGCTTTTATTCCGTTCATTATTGTAAGTTGCGTTTGAGGAAGCAGATTGATTCCTGCTCATATTATAATTGACCTTTGACGTGTGCACTCATTTGTATAGCTTTGTGTACAGTTTTTGAGAATTGTTTTTGAGTTAATTAAGAAAGCATATATATTACTATAATTGTTAGAAAGCAATCTTCAAAAGCAAGTTCAGGTCACTAAAACTGATTTTGCTTTGCTGTACATAACCTCAAATTGCAACTTTATGAATGGAAAAATCAAACTTTCTAAGAACTTGGGAGTTTTCAGAATTTTTTCTGTAGTTCACATGTAATTGTAAGCCTACTGATTCTTGTCTTTAGCTGACAGTTGAAGACAATTTTGCGAGTTTTCTAGCAGTGAAAAATTTTTTCTCTCAAAGCATTTTTTGCAATTTTATAATTAAATAAATCTTTTTCAAGTCTCAAATTGGAAAAATAAAAATTTATGCACAGTTCTAAGAGAAAACTTTTTAAGCTTTATTACTTTCCTGTTTGATTTATTCTAATTTTATAATTTGATTTTTGCATTTAAATATCATTTTTATATTAAAAATAAATGTGAGTAAATTTAGAATAACATTTACTTTATTTGTATAAAAAGCAGTAGTCCTTTGGAAATATTAATCATATTTGAAGGTTAGTATTTGTTTTTAATAAAAAACTAAAAAAAGGATGAAATTTTCAAAAATAAATAATTAATTAATTTGTATTTGAATGCAAATGATTTCAAGCAATTAATTAGGAGATATTGTTTGAAGCAAAGAATATGTATTTGAGAAAATCTAACAAGAAATATCTTTAATATGTTTTATTTATTTTGAAAAAAATTAACATTTTTAATTGTTAAAATCAGTTTTATGCTAATACTTGCAAGTGATTAAACAAGTTAGTTCTAAGGTAGTCTTTATATGCATAAATTGCTTGTTTTGCTACAAATAATAGCTTTGAAAATTTCAAATATAAAAAAGTAAGCAGTAAGAATTTACTTTTTAGAACAAATATACTTACTTACATTTGCAATAATTGAATGAATTCAAAGCAAAACATTTTGAACAAATTTTATTTTCAAATTTAATTTAGTGCATTCATTTGAGTGAATTTATAAATTTGAAAAGAACATATGATTGAAAGTTTAAAAAGATAGAAAGCTTTCAGAATTTGGAAAAGACTCTATAATGTTATTTACATTCTTGAATGCTTTTATTTTGCGCGGTAAAATTTTAACAAATTCCTGGAAGTTCCTTACTGTAGCATTCATATATTTTCACTTGCTTTACAGTATGCAAGAACTACCGTTCAGTAAGAAAAAATTTTTAAAATGTTTGGCAGTCAAATTTTTGAAAATGTATTTAAAAAAAGGACGAAGTAAAATTCTGTTGTAGTTTTGGAGACGTATTTTGACTTAGTCTTGAGAAAGTTTCTCCTTTAGGACATTCTTTTCCAGTAATTTATTTTTTAAGTTTTCTGAAGAATTATGCAAAAATAAAGATTAACCTTAAATATGCGGACAGCAATGAAACTGTCTATTTATCATTCTATCTTTTAGTCAATCAATCTATCTATCCATTATCTATCTATCTATCTATCTATCTATCTATGTGTGAAGGATATTAATAGATTTCATGAAATGCAAATTTTTAAGCAAAAATGCTAGGTGGGTGGATAAATAGATAGATAGATAGAATCAGAATGAAAAATTTGAAAGTGTCGTTTACAATTTGCATGAATTTCATGGTTTACTATCATTTTCTTAGTAAGTAGTAAACTGAGCCATCTTCTAAAATAACTCTCTTCTAAATAGAAGCTAATTTATATAATCTTGTAGTGAGTAAGACTTGTTTTTGCATATATAAATAATATAAAGTTAAAACTTTACTAAAAATATTAAATTAATACGAAGACTTTGAGTATTATTTAGTAATGCCTAATTTTCAACTCTATCTGTAATAAATAATTGAAATAATATTTCTGTTAAGGATATGAATAAAAATTGAAATGTTTACAATTCAAAAAAGGCTTGAAGAAAATTTCAGTCCAAATATTATCATATCACTCAATGCTTGTGGCAAATATCTGCTGCAAAACGTCGCAAAAAAGTTAAATAATCAATTTAAGTGAATTTTTAATCTCATTTTTGTATTGCAAAGATTGATTCTCATTCTGTAAGCTTAAAGAAAATGAATTTTAAGAATATATTATGAAAAAGTTTAAATACAAAATAGTTTATTAAAACAATTTTAAAAATAACAACTAAAATATAATAAAAAATTAAGCTATAAAATGCATAAAAATAGTATACTGTAAATAGATATACAAACCTTTTACTGTAGAAGAATAATATTTTAGTAATAAAAACAATGAATGATAAGTAAATACGTTGAGCAGAGGGAGCAGTTGTAGTTGCATTATAGTATGTTAGCATGAAAGAAGGCTTACTTCAAGGCTGTGTATACATACATACTGCCTTAGTAGGCTTGGCCAGAGTAAGGCCTAGCCAAGAATGAACTCTGAAGCCTAGCAAAATCGATCTTAGTCTTTTTCTTCAAAGATTCTCACTTATTTACTTAGTCTATTGCTATTCTCAATTAATTTTTTACTTCTTAGTTGCATTTCAAAGAGAAAACTTTTTATTTTTCTTATTGCATAAAAATAATAATAAACTTATCTAAAATATTTACAAGAGATTACTTTATGTTTTATTAAATAAAACATTCCAATTACATTTCAATATTCTTTGCTAATCAATTCATTCAATGTCACAATTTTTAATATTTTTTCGCGTTTATCAAAGCAAAATTTTTACTTGCAATAAATCAAAAAATTAATAAATGATAACTTACGTAGTTTTGGCAGACAAATAATATTAAAGATCAATGAAATTAATATTTATATCTTTATTTGTTTATTTATTTCAATCCTTAATGTATTTATCTTATCGTATCAATTTTATGAATAACTAATTTTTAAATCTAAATATTATATTTTTGCAACAGAATTGGCATCAATCAGTCAGGAATCCTTAATGATGCCTTCAAAATAGTCTCATCGATTCTATTCCTGAAGATTGCATAAAAAATGAAACATCTTCAAGACCTATTACGAGTTCTTTCCGATACTGTACATTATAGTAATGGAGATTCTACTCGATGTCACAAGAGACCAAAACGAAACAGAAAATGCGTAAAAATGTTCTAAAGCTGTACTGTGCTTACAGTAGTATTATATCAGTTTGCTTTAGTTCATTTATCTTCTTTCGTACGCATAAAGAGTTAAATATTAGTAGTCATTGGTTCCAATCAGTCAAATTATTGCAGTTATAGCATTCTTACTTTGACCTATGCAGTAATACTTGATTAAAGTTAATACCCATCCATATGCGTTGCACAACATTGTGCTTTTCAGTAACCTTTCTTTGAGTAATAATTTTAAGAATGCTCTAGTACTATTTTTGACCTACCGTAGATATGGCATCGCAGAAATATTTTAAGCAGCAAAAAAAAATCTTGAATTTCAACATAATCCCACCAGCCTAAGATTCAATTTCTACCAGTTTTAAATTTATGGTTTTAAACAATTGCAAATGTTTGATTGAAAATCGTACTATTTGCATATATGGAAAGCCAATAATACAAAATGAAGTATCAAAAAATTGCAGTCTAAATAAAATTTTATATACTATTGCTGATTAGATTGACATTATCTACGTGTCCTTATCTACTGTCTAATTTTACTAATTTACCAATACTGTAATCATAATCTGACTTGTTATCAGTGCTGTTGATCTAATTTTACTAATTTGCCAAATAACATTAATAATGGCTACAATTACAAACCACAATTATCAGTTAGCATACAGTTATTTGAAATTATACTATTACATACGATCAAAAAGAATTTCCCGCTTTTTTAAAAAGTATACTCAATACTTAAGAGCACTAACACTTGTTGAGTTATTATAATAGTCTAAGTTTTACTCTTCTCAATCTTAAATGCGATAATAATTCCTTAGGGTCTTTGCAGTTATGCATCGTTCTGGTGAAATGTCTGATTGAAGAAGTCCTTACATCCTCGAAAACATTTACCAATTTGGGAATATCCACTTACATCCATGCCATTCCTCATCCTACCGCTCTATTCACAAGCAACTTTGCAACCAAATCTATCTAAAAATCCACTCTCATTTCCCATAAATCAACTAGTCTGCTTTCTTGACCAAACATCTATCTGAACTCCAACCTTTTTCAATCATACAAGGTATATATTGCCAAGTTCTATTTTGCATTATTAGTATTTAGTGTTAAGATACTAACAGCGAAATATGACAAAGTGTAGGTATGCACGGAAACTTTACCAATCTTATACTTCTGCACGAACAAAATTTACCAGTTCCGCTAACTACTTTTCTTTTACTTCATAACATTTTTATCATACCAATAGAGAAAAACCATGTAAAGCTTACAATAAGAAACACTTTCATGTAATTGACGTAACAAACGAACTACCGAAACCGATCTCCGTCTAATACTTACATCGAATTGATCAAACACACATATTATTTAAATTTATTCCATAAACTGGACAAATATATCGATTTTAAGCTCTATTACTATACCAAAGAAATGGTTAGTTAGCAGCAATTATTAATAGTAACGAAACATCAGGACAAATTTGAAAATTGATCAGCAAAAATGCATTTAGGCAATGACAAAAACTTAAAAGACCTAACAAGAAAGATCGGATGCCAAAATGAATCAATTTCTAAAAAAGATGGTCTCACATATAGAAGAATGTACTTCACAACTACGAAGATACAATATAAGTAAAGCTCGAGATTGCATGCTTCGTAGTAAACAGTGAAAATTATTGAGTAGAAATTTCAGTTCCTGAACAATCAGTGAACAATAAGCATACATTTACAAATGCAAGAATAATTCATGTGTTAAACGCACCAATGTGAATTTTATACTGAATAAATACTTATAAATTCCGTTCAATCTCATGCTTCTAGTAGTACTGAAGATACCAAACCAAAGAAGATATCAGACTTTTACTATTATATAATTTTCGAAACATTAAAGGTCAATCAAGCACAATACAATATAATGAGATAATACTTTTGCATTGAAGTGAAAAGTTTATGGAAAATTAAATCAAGTGAATAACTAATTATTTTTATGCTTGTCAAGTTCATTATACTATCTGTACCCGCATACTGAAGAAGTAAGTCAAATTATAATTTACATTGAAAGAGCATTGGACCAAAGGCCAGGCAATGATTTTCGAACAAACAAAATACACTGATCCTTTTCTAACTTGTAGTTAATGTCAAGTATTTTACCCGGACACTTTCGCATCTCAAAATATCGTTTCTCCAAAACCGTTTTCATTGGTGGTTTAGTCTTCTTGTTTAATTTGAAAACTTCCAGAAGTATGCTGAAACTCCTGCAAAGTAATGAAAATGAATAAGTAATATAGAAAAGTCAAGATTTTTATAACTCAATAATCGCCGAAACAAATTCCTCTCACATACAGGAATATACTGAATTCTATTTTTTTATATGAATTTCACAACATTTCAGCACAAAATCGGTAACAAATAAAGCTACTGTCTATATCAAACTCAAATTTCCAAACACAATCAGTGCTGTTCTCAGCGACTTATCAAAAACTTACTCATCGTCGTATTTTAAATGTACATCAGTATTAGCAGCGTGAATAAATGTCTTTGGTTTGATTCCCATCACCACTAAATGTACTTTCAGAACAGTCATGCTGTCATCATACTTTACTGAAAAAAAAAGCGCAAAATGCTTAATTCCTTGAAAACTTTACTTAGCTATTAAACCTAATCAGCAATTAAAAATAAGATGCTGCTAGACAAATTAGAAATCAACCTCACTGAAGACACAAGTTAATTAATACTGTAATTTTATGCAATACTTTCACTCATAATGATCAATTACATCACCTCTTCATTTCTCTAACGTGAAAATAGCACATTTTGGAAGGAATATATTTAAATATACTCTTATCAACAAAGGAAATTTTTTAAAAGCCGTGAACAATCTGGCATGAAAATGAGAATTATGGTGAAAAGGTCAAACCTCCAACAGGTCCCGGCAATGACTCCACACCTTTGTCCCAACTTTGCTGCATTTGTTGAAATATTAGAAATTAGTGGGTTCTCTAAAGCAAAAATAACGATGGCCAATTTGTATACGGAACATACGAACCCGATATTTCTTTCCACTTGAAAATTGCTTGCTTATTTGTCACTTTCATTTTCATTCATCAACTCGCTAAAATTGCAAAAATTAATTTTTCTTTGAACATCGCCTTGAACGACGATGAAATAATCATAATTTACTGCAAAGATCTTAATGACCTTTAACATAACTAGCGACCAAAGACCATAAACTCGACTAATTACTAATCATTCAATACTATACTCTGGAGTGGGATATCTGGTTTAAAATAGCTTGTATCACAGATGTAACGGACTTTGCGCGGCCCGTTACATCTGTGTGACTTAAATTATTGGGATTTAATTAATTAGATGTGTTGCGAGCAAGTAGTAGTCAGTTGTTGCATTATTTTTGTGGATTTTGCCGGGAAAGCTTGTAGTTTTAGGCATATTCTGTAGATGGCATCAAGACATAAACTGAACATTGAGGATGGAGACAAGAGACGGGAACGAGACCGGCAGAAGAGGTCAGTTTGTTTTATTTTTTACTTTTCATAATTTCGTTGCGTTTCTGCTCTCTGCTCAGCTTTTCATTCCATTGTCACAAACTTTCTTTTTAATTTTGAACTGTACAGGAGGCTGTTTCTGTTTATTTTCATATTTCGGAAAGTTTTCTCTAACATTTTCAGCCGTTCAAAGTCACGATCACCTAGAAGAAATCGAAGTAGAAGTAGGGAACGAGAACGAAAGCGAAGTCGTTCTCGTTCTCCTAATGAAAAGATACGGCGACCCACGGTAAATTTTTCATTTATATTTCCTTTATGTTATTTTTGTCGCTTATGATTTTTAATTATTATTCAGATATTATTTTAGGTAGAAATTAATCCTTTTAGTGGACAAGCTTATACTCAACGTTATTTTGAAATCTACAAAAAGAGAGTAGCACTTCCAGTCTGGGAATACAAGGACAAATTTTTAGAAGTTCTTGATAAAAATCAAGTAAGTTGCCTCATTTGCTTCCTCATATTTTCATAATTTTATTCATAGAGTTTCCATCATTTAAATTTAATTAGTATTATCGTTTTGCTGAAAATCGAGCATTTTGATGTATTTTATGGTAAATAGAAATATAACATTGATTTATTCCTCCTCAATATGATATTTTAATGACTTTATTTTCAGCCAGAAATTAATCTTTTTTGTTGTAAGTAAATAGTTTGCAGTGTTTAACTTTGGTTGGTGAAACTGGATCAGGAAAAACAACTCAGATTCCGCAATGGTGTTTAGAATATTGTAAGTCTCGTACATCTCCAGGTCAACGACGATTAGTTGCTTGTACTCAACCCCGAAGAGTAGCAGCTATGAGTGTTGCAACTCGTGTTGCTGAAGAAATGGATGTGCAAGTGAGTTAGACGTTTCAAAAACTTTGAGTTTATTAAATTAATATTTAATAAAAATACTAAAAATTCCTGAAAACTCATTCTATTATTGTAAAATATTACTACGAGATTAGAATAATAGTTCAAAGTTTGAAGCAATTGTGAAAAACTCCGTCATGATTATTATTAGCTTTCATGTTCAACGCTGAAGTTATGTAGAGAGATATTTATCACATAATTAACATAATAAAATTTTTATTACATTACTAACTTAATTTTCATCATAGGTTTATATGAACATTTTCAGCAACATAGAGATTGTATACTGTATTACAATGATCTTATTATAAAATTATTTAAATGTTTATTGTAGTAATATATGTTGCAGTTAGGTGCCGAAGTAGGCTATTCAATACGTTTTGAAGATTGTGTCAGTGATCGTACAATACTTAAATATTGTACTGATGGTATGCTTTTGCGTGAAGCTATGAACAGTCCATTGCTTGATAATTATGGGGTGATTATACTGGATGAAGCGCACGAACGTACTCTGGCTACTGATATCCTCATGGGTTTAATCAAGGTTCACATATACAGTTGCTATTGCTACTTTCATTCATTATTTATCATTTGTACTTCATTGTGATGTTTTGATCTTATTTAGGAGATTGTGCGACAACGAAAGGATATAAAAATAGTGGTGATGAGTGCAACATTGGATTCAGGGAAGTTCCAGAATTATTTCGAAAATTGTCCACTAATGTCTGTTCCCGGTCGCACATTTCCTGTCGAAATATTTGTATGTTTCTTCTCAAATTTGACATATTTCTGTGGTCTGTTTTGAATTTATTGAAAATTACTTATTTGTTTCAGTACACACCAGAGCCTGAAAAAGACTACTTAGAAGCTGCAATTAGAACTGTTGTCCAAATTCACGTTTGCGAAGAAGTTGAAGGGGATATATTGTTGTTTTTAACAGGACAAGAGGTATTAGGATATTTCTTTAAAATATTAGTCATGTATTCGATTGTACAAAGGATCTCAACAGTTTAAAAAAGAGAGAAATGTCTCACTTCAATAGAATTTCACGTTTATTTGAATTTATTATTTGAGAGAAGTTGAAGTTTGTTATTGTAGTGGTTTAAACAGTGAAATGTTGCGTTTATTTTTTTTTCGAATTTTATGATTAGTCATGACTAGTCATGCATGAACTTTAAATAGTTTTGTTAGTGTGAATTCTTTTTTACAGGAGATAGAAGAAGCCTGTAAGCGTATTAAACGTGAAATCGATAATCTGGGTCATGAAATTGGAGAATTGAAATGCATACCACTGTATTCCACTTTACCACCTAATTTGCAACAAAGGATTTTCGAGTCACCGCCACCAAAACGGCCAAGCGGAGCTATTGGTGGGTGCAGTTGTTTTGAGAATTTGTCATGTGTCTTGCCGTACCTCCTGTTTCATTTTGCTCCATCTTTTTCGTGGCATTTCCAAAGAGATTTTTCCCAAAGTTGAAGTAAAATTCCAAGTATGGCAGGACACATATGCATTTTAGGTGCCTCAGTGTACTGATAATCTTTGAAGACTCATAGTTGACGGCGCCTGGCATGAATTGCAGGTCGCAAATGTGTCGTCTCAACGAATATTGCCGAGACGTCACTTACAATTGATGGCGTTGTTTTCGTGATTGACCCAGGATTCTCAAAGCAGAAGGTTTGTACAAGAAGACTGCTGAAAGACAGTAGTTGCTCTGTATCAACGGATACTAGTGTGATACATATTGGTGTATATGGTACCGTGGTGATATCGTTGTTATATGCGGATGGGCAGGGAGATATTTTCATATTAGCTTTAATGGAATTTTCAGGTTTATAATCCAAGAATTCGTGTTGAGTCGTTACTTGTATGTCCAATATCGAAAGCATCTGCCATGCAACGTGCTGGCCGAGCAGGAAGGACAAAACCTGGCAAATGTTTTCGCTTATATACAGAAAAGGCGTATAAAAATGAAATGACTGATCAAACGTATCCAGAAATCTTGAGGTACATTTGTTTTTTTTTTTGCCGTTTTTCCTGAAAGGAGGCTATTTTTTTGCTTAAAAGTAGTGTTGCACAAGAATCTGATGATTTCGCCAGCGAAATAAATTTTTAGACGCTTATGGGCGTGAAGAAATGTTTCCTGTATTCTATTCTTTTAGATCAAATTTGGGCACAGTGGTATTGCAGTTAAAAAAACTTGGAGTTGAAGATCTCGTTCATTTTGATTTTATGGATCCACCAGCTCCTGAAACTTTAATGCGTGCATTGGAGATGTTGAATTATCTAGCCGCTATTGACGACAATGGAGAATTGACTCAGTTAGGTTCTCTGATGGCAGAATTTCCACTAGATCCTCAGCTTGCGAAAATGGTAATTGCGTCAACGGAGCTGAACTGTTCGAATGAAATTCTTAGTGTCACAGCTATGCTATCAGGTAATGAGAATTAATTGCGATCTTTATTTCATTCTTTTCGGTCGCTTACTAAAAATTTTATCGTGCCTTTCAAAAATAAGTTTCCAGATTAGAGTTTTTTTTGCTCATATTTTGAAAATATCAAGCATGCATGAACGAAAATCTTTCAGTACCTCAGTGTTTCGTGCGTCCAACAGAAGCGAAAAAAGCGGCGGATGATGCCAAAGCTCGTTTTGCTCACATCGATGGAGACCATTTAACCTTGCTGAATGTTTATCATGCATTCAAACAAAGTAAAAGATGCTTTGTTTATTATCTCTGAAGTGATATGATATCTTGCTCTAGCTACAATTTTTATGTATCTTATTAGTTGAGAAAAGCTACAGGTCGAAAAATCTTTGTGTAATATGCAGATCGTGAAGATGTACAGTGGTGCTATGATAATTTCATCAACTACCGTGCATTAAAGAATGCGGATAATGTAAGAACGCAGCTTGCGCGAATCATGGATAAATTTAGCTTAAAACGAGTTTCAACTGATTTCAAGAGCAAAGACTACTATATCAATATTCGTAAAGCTCTTGTGGCAGGGTTTTTCATGCAGGTAAAGGTATTTTATTTACACATGTTTATGAGTGTATTCTTTTATATGAATTTTGTATAGTATTTATTATAGGTCGCACATCTAGAGCGTAGTGGACATTATATTACCGTAAAAGATAATCAGTTAGTACAGTTGCATCCATCTACAGTATTAGATCATAAACCTGAATGGGCATTGTACAATGAATTTGTATTAACTACAAAGAATTTCATACGAACAGTGACCGATGTAAAACCTGAGTGGTAATATTTTTTAATTTTGCCTTTTTTTGTTCATGTTGTGGGCGTTATAAATGTGTTTAAGGAAAATTACCAGGAACATGAAATGTTATTTTGTAGAGTGAAGTTTAAGATTTATAAATATGCTTACGAAGCTATTCATGAATTACTTTTTGTTATATCGAAAATACTCTGTGTATTTTGCTATCGTCTCAGTCATTATTTGGTTAAAAATGATTGATTTACACTAATTTTATTGTGAAAAGATTATTTAAGATAAGCATTACTTTTCAGTGTGAGTAAAAGTTCTTCAGACTTTGCTGTAATACACTGAGGGAAGTTCTTTGTATGTAGAATACAGTACTCTTTCTAGGCTCGTCCAGATGGCTCCTCAGTACTACGACATGTCCACATTTCCGGATTGTGATGCTAAAAAGAAATTGCAACACACTATTTCCACTTTGCAAACCTTACGGGCTTCACACGGTATTTAAGCTTATTGTTATTGCACGTTACATGTTTGATTGTTTACGAAATACTGATCATATGAAATTAGCATCTAATTTTGAGTCTATAAGGGCCTTGCTTAGTTTTTTCGTGTCATTGCACTCTTGACGTCATTAATTGAAAACAGTAAAATTTTTTTCTGTCATTGTACTCTTGAAATATTCTATGAGTAAGTTTTGATGATATTTTGTGATTCATATGTTTTTATCTTTGTCAATTTTTCAGATTGAAATATATTTATTATACTGTTTATGTTTGAATATGTTGTATAGTTTTCATGCAGGCATTTTATTTCAACATATTGTCCACATTAAATTTTTTTGCTGTATTTTCAAAGAATATGCAATAAATTTTGTTGATTTCTTTGTTTTCAAGTTTTTATGTCTCTTGTGGCTGTCATCTCCTAATGCCAGATTATTTCGTTGTATTTGTTGATCATGTTGGTTTTTGTGCAGTGGTGTGTATGCATGAAGATATTACACTATTTCATGCTTGCTTTTTGGTTCTTAAATATAATGTTGCAATTTGTTTAAATAAATAATATTGGCCAGTGTAAAAGCTGTTTGTAGTGCAACTATGAAACATTAAAAATATTGCTCTGAAGTTTTTGATGTATTTTATTTATAATAGTTTATCTGTGTAGAAGGAGTTACTAATACTCGTAAAGTTTTTGTAATACTGGGATTCAGATTTCTAAATGATCTGAGCATAGAGAACTAGTGGAGATTTTCTCTAGAATTTATTCTGTTAAGTAAGTAAGCACGTCATGGTTTCTCTGTAGAATGTGCACTGAATAATTTCTGAACTGTTTATATAAGAATTTAAGGATTAGACAAAATTTCGGAAGGGATTTGCAGAAATTGCATTTAGCCGTTCGGTTTCTGCTGAATGATTACCATTGTTGCTTATGAATTTAAATTCAAAAGTAAAACGAAGAAAGTGAGTTACTAATTGTTCGCTGGGTGTTATTAGAAGTATTATTCTTCTTTTGCAGAGTGAATGGTAGAGTTAATCGTTGCATGTATTTATTCGACTGAAATCGCTCACTGCTTTCATTTTTTGTTCAAATAAGCAAAGCAATGAACAATTAATTGAAGTTTGTCATGTCTTTATTATAAGATTTATATGACACAAATAGTATAGTTATAAGATTCCGCAATGGTAATTTCATGCTGAGAAAAAATGATGTGTGATTAGATTGAAGAAATCGGAGCACTAAATTAGAGCATGATTTGTTATAGAAATTAGATGTGATGAGGAACTGCAATATTAAATATCTTGTGCACTTCTAAATGGTTTTTAATTTAGCTGCAAAATGTTTAATTTTTCAGGTAATTGTATTAGTAAGGTTTATTATAAATTGCTATAACAATGCTTGGAATAAATTTTAGTTTGGTTAAGTCTATTTATTGTGTCTAATGAATGGACATGTAGTGATTAATTTCTCCATGCTCTATATCTGATATATGCAGTACTAATATTCTAGTCTATGAGATACTCTTTTTAATGCAGACAAATTTCGATGAATTAATTGTTTGGTAATTGCATTTTCATAATTGTTTTTAGTAAATTTAAAAATTTTCTTCATTTATTATGTATAACAATGTTCGATATATTTCAGTTGAAATGAGAGTAGTTTAGATGGTATGATTACTATGGAAACTTTTGATATGTGAAAGAAAATATGTCGTGAGAAATATAAAGAATAATTGCTGCACTTGTTTTTTAGCATTTTAAACGTTACTTGATCGTTATGCTTTTTGCATAAATGTTAACTTGCATATTAATATAGCACAAAAAGACTAGTATATTCGTATATATAAGTCTGAAATTAAAGTTAGAGAATAGAATTTTCAGAAGACCGAAGAAATAAAGTGATGTTTTATATGAACTAAAAGTTGTACTGTTAAGTGGAAAAAATTGAAGTTAAAGTATACTTGAGATATGTCGATAGGAGATGTGGCATATCTGATGTGATGTGATGTGTTTGAGTGATCGAGCATTAACACATTTGTAATTTGCATATTTTCTTGTTAGCAGCATGATGAGATCGCATGTAGACGTTTACTTTTTACTCTTTCACTTCTACTCCTTTACTGTAGTGAATGCTATGAGTAATGTATTTGGTGATCAAAAATGAAAAATGTTAATTTCTTGAGAATGTATTGCCTTTCTCAAGCGATAGTTCTATCAACCATTCCCTTACTCAACCATGTTTTCATCACTTCCATCCATTTTAATTATCACTGATATTATCATTCAACGCTACTACTGTAAATTTGTAATAACTACTTTTTTCTCTCATGAATTGTATTATACTTCATATGATCATTATTATCATTTATATGGTCGTTTCTTTTTTTTAAGTATGCATAAATTAATTGATTAAAATATTATGAATTAATTTATTATACACAATTACTTTGAGCTAGTTACTTTTATCAACAACAACTTTTCATAAAATGTTATTAAAAGCTTTTTTTGACATTTTATTATTAAGTTACGTAGTTATTATGGAACTGACTGCATACTAAAAATGTTAGATTAATTGATTTAATAAGTGAATTGGAGTAAGTATATAACTCGTGTTCTGTTTTAGTCTGTTCTAACAACTGCAACTTTTATTAGTATAATGAAATGAAAGACGAAAATAAAATTTAACAGCAAGAAAAATAGTGATAAAAAATCATTAAAGTAAAAAGTATTCGCATGTAAATTGTTGAAGTATAAATTTAGATTAGCGATCAAGAAAGCAGTAATGGATGTAATCATTCAAATTTATAGTTTATCTGCGAAATGAATTACTAATCATTGCAACGTCTATTTTTTCACAAGTTTTTTATGACATAAACGAAAAAAGTTATGGAATCAAACATCACATTTGTTGATATCATCTACGCATCTTGTGACTTACATTGTGAAAAATACATTCAGTGAATAGATGATTGATAAGATGAGAAAAGATTTGAATCACTGATCCATGAAAGAAAACAAGATCTTTTGCTATAAAATCAGAGCAGTAACAGCAAGAATAGTTAGTTGTGAATAATATTCTTGCTTATTGCTACAAGTGATCAGTCACGTACTATCCAGTTTAAGTTTATATTAGATTATAGTAATTTGAAGTTTGTTAGTGACTGGATACATTTACATATTTCTGAAATTTTGTATGTAGGATTACTTTTTTGTACATTTACACTTGATGCATAATTCTGAAAAGAAAGATTTTTTAATTGAATAATGATTGATCTTTACAGCAGTTTGCAAATATTTTACATGGTAATAATTCATAGCTTTAAATCAGCACAATTAATTAGGTCAATTATTTAAGTAAAGGAATTATAGCAATGAACTCTTCAATTTGACCTATAATATAAAAATTTATATGTTTTATACACTAAAAACTTGATCGTCTTCATCATTAAATATAAAACCTCTGAATACTTTTTCCAATGTAACTGAAATACAGACCAATTAAAATTTTATTTACTATGTCAAGATAAATATATTATTAAATGCTAAAAAGCATTAAATAAATGTTTCACAGATGCATAATTTTATATTATTATCATTTAATATTAACTAGCACCTTTATTACAATAATCATGATTCTTATTATTAACTAGCACCTTTATCAAAATAATCATAATTCTGAATTCAAACTTGTGCTTACTGAATATTTTTTTATTTAAAAGGTGATTGTTCTTTAGAGTTACTTACATTTTAGTTCATATTACTTAGTACCGCTTAGTATCATCTCATGTAATGGATTATTTATAAAATAAAATTGAATGCATGCATTTAAAACTATAGCTGAAATTTATTAATCAGTTAAAAAGCATTTTAATGCAGCTTAATTATCAGTCTACGTCATTTGATACAGTATTAGAATGACAATTATATAAAATGTATTTTATCAAAGTACTGTTAAAAATATTCGATGAAGTCATAAGTACCTTACATTTAATATTACAAATAAGTTGAAATAAACTCTAGAACAATATAACTAACTTTTTATATCTTAGAAGTATTTGATTTGAATCACTTACTTGTAAAATTTCACAAACTTTCTGCATATAAACACTTTTTAAATTCAGATTTGCTTTGCCAGCGTTACTTTCAATTTGTGACTAAGGAAAACGTTCATTTATATGCGTAGATAATTTGCAGTATACGTGAATATAAATAATTGATACTTCTTTTTTTGTCTGTATTACAGTAAAATTAATTTTTCAACTATGAATAATAGTTCAAATGAAGGCTGACTTCACTGTGTTAGTACAATTAAAACAATACAATGCATAGTTTCAATAAAAACTAATTATTAAGCATTGATATTTTATAATTCATACAAAAATTATAAATACTTACTTCGCTTTTAAAACTGAAATTTATATTATCCACACTAATTTCAAAATTCATAACTCCATGATTTCATAAAGTTCTTGTTTGAAGAATAACAAATTCAGTGATACTTATGCAATGGTCAGTATTGCTTTTTTGTTTTTATTCTAATTAATCGCTTGAGTCCATTTTGAATTAATTAATCACTTTTGTTCAAATTATCCCACAAAATACAAAGACATAATAAATCTTCCTTAGTAATTTGATTTTTCGATTTTTTTCCCTCCTTAGCATCCTATAAACTATCAATTACTAATTTTTGACTTTTGACCAATTCCTTTTGGTTGCTAACTGCTGTCCGAATTAATGACAGCTTACATATTCACATAAAGAATAAATTTTCCCAATTTCAACAATCTGAAATTGACCAATAAGTGACCCTTTGATTTTTGACTTTATAAATGTGATCAAAGATTGATTAGTTGTACAAGCAAATATAAATATTGTCTCTTTCATTAACTGAGAATTGTAGTTTTTGAATGTATTCAAAATCTGTGCTATTTTCTTAATATTTGACTCAATGAAAGTATTTTTGCTAACTCTCAGGCACAAATTTCATTCCATACATGATTTTATGATTATTAAAGGAATATTTTTCAGAATTTCAGCGTGACGTAAAAAGCTATCAACTTAAAACTGTAATATTTAAAAAATATTTCGTTCAAAAACTCTTTCCATGCCTTATTAACTCCTTTCGCATAAAGGCACTCACTTATTTTAGTCAATCCAAAACTGTCTTATTTGAAGAACCATTTTTAATACAAATTTCGTTCTTCATATTTTAGCATACTTTTTGACGCACCAATAAACTAGCATTTGAAAACATAAACATCATTCTATAAATAAAAAAACTTGCTAAAATACACATTTTACTATACTTTACACTAATTCAATTCTATTAACTGCACTCGAAACTGCCGCATCCTTGCGATATTTTTTTGCGCAACTCACATTACATTACAGCTTAACTTTGTAATTAAGCGCACACAATTACGTCTAATTATGCTAATTTTGGAATTAAATAATAATTAGTAATTTAATTTCTTACATAAATATTCAGTTCCTTCACGGTACAAATTTATTCCTGATAACTATCAATGACCATTTATTTCTATCATTTGATCCTTTCATGCGCTTCTCTCTCACTCTTAAACATTTACAAAATACGTTCAGTTATTTCAGTACATCGACCTATCGTTGCAATCACTTTCTGCATTGGTTAAATATTGCTAATTTAAATAAAAAACTGATGTTGTAAGAATTTCTCCTTTCAAACAGCAAAATTTTGCTCTATCTTACCAAAAAATTCTTATTTTTTATTTTCCACTTAATAAACATAACTTGTATTTAACAAATTTTATACTTAATAAATATGGCTTGTATTTAATCAGTTTTATACTTAATAATACGGCTTAAATAATTAAGAATATTATTGTAGAATGGAATTGGGTTTGCTTTCTTTATTTAATATTATTTATTAGTTGAAATTATAACTACATATTTTATTAAATGAACTAGCTTAATTTATTATTTCAGACGTTATTTAGTCGATAATGTGCTATCTGATATCATCAGTTTGTAACAAAAGAATAAGATAAGAATTAAAAGGATGAGAAATATGCTGGAATGGCCAGTATTCAAATTTTTGCGATTCTCAACCACAAGTAATAATACGCAGCCTTCTTTGTCTACTCAATATCAACAACTGAAAGAAGATGATGATCGTAAGGATTCTGAAACTGAACAGCGTATAACGAAAACAGAACAATATACTACTAATCCAATTCGCATTTCCAAAATAAGGTAATTTTTGATTACTACTCAAAGTTTATAACATTTAATCTAATCAAAAACCATGACTATAGCATTTTTTATTAATTGAAAATTTTTTCAATACTGAGTAATCAACAAAAAAAGTTTGCTTGAATTTTGGAAATAATTAAAAAATTTTAGAACAAGAATTAATTCAAGTGATTACACTCTCGATAAAGGATCATACAGTGATGCTTATATGCTGGTGGATATCAATCAAAGATTATGCAAGGCTACAACTTAACTTCTACTTGATGCTTAGCAGTGATTTCTAGAACTTCGTTTTGATTTGTGACATCATCATTTAACTTCAATTACTTTTAACTTTAACCTATTTATAGAGCTTTAATAATGAAAAGTATGTAAAGAATGAAAATATGGATGAGCTTGATCGAGTGCCAGTAGATTTCTCTACCCCATCAGCTCCAACTTTACTCACTGATCCAAATGAAGTTGGGTTAGTTTGTATTTATTATTTTTCTCATAGTTCTTGATATATTTTCTTGCTCACTAATATATATATATA